CAATAGTATCCTGCTCACAGGGCCTTTCGGGCGAGGGATCACCCTTCAAGGTGCTGAGCGTTAATTCTGATGCGGATCTCTTGAAGTATGTGGGGGACCTTGGACTCCTTGACACACTTGAGAAGAGGTAGGGAGAATACCCGCCTGTATAACTTATCTTTGATCAAGACGTAAGAGCAAGCTCTACGCCTGACTATGTTAGCCTCTTTCGAGTCGGGGCTAGTTCCCCCGTGGTGAGGTACGTGTACACCGAGGTCATCCACCAGTTGCTGTCACCGATGGCATTCACGTCAATGGTCGCGGTAGGTTTCTCGATGCTTTGTCGAGGAAGTACCTCCTAGATGAAAAACTTGTTTCTGCCCTTCTTTTTCGTGCTCGCGAGTTTCGACAGGATATCTGCACGGGTGTTGTATTCGGAGGGAACCTGCTTTACCTCCACATAATCAAATTTTTGCCACGAAGTCGGCCAACACTTGAGCTTTGAGGGACTTCCTTATCTCGTACTAGACGTCGAACTCAGAGAGTTCTAGAGAACATTTGAGCATCCTACTGGCCATGTCGGGACAACCAAGTAGTTGCTTTATAAGCTGGTCAGTCTGCACCACGATTGTGTGATCCAGGAAGTAATGGCGCAACCTTTCGACCGCATTGATGAGGACTAAAATACACCATTTCGATTTGCTGATGTCTAAGCTCTGTGCCTTGTAAGGCTTTACTGGTGAAGTAAATAGGTTTCTGCTCCTCGGGGGTTTAGCGGACGAGAGTCGCACTGACAGCCTCGGTTGTGACGACGAGGTACAGGTACAAAGTCTCTTCGCTTTCTGGTCGTGAGAGGACTAGTGGTTGCAAAAGAACTTATTTGAGATGGAAGAGGGATTGCTCACACTCTTCTGTCCATTCGAACACAACTTCCTTGCGCAGAATTTAGAAAAATGGAAGTACGTGTTGGGCAGACTTAGCCACGAAGCGAGACAGTAAGGTGAGCATCCTGTTTAGGGATTTGACCGATTTCTTCGAGCTCGGTGTTGGAAACTCGGAGAAATCCATGCATTTGTCGGGGTTCTCATATATTCCTTGTTTTTTCAAATAGAAATTGAGGAGTTTGTCTGCTCGGACGCCGAAGGTGCACTTTTCCGGGTTGAACCACATCCTGCACCTTCTCGCCGTGTCGAAGACCCTTTTGAGATGGACGGTGTGGTCGGTTTCCCCTTGGGATTTAACGATCATGTTGTCCATGTAGACCTTGAGCATGTCCCCGATCTCACCTTGGAAGACTTTGTTCATCATCCGCTGGTAAGTAGCGCCAACGTTTTTCAAGTTGAAGGGCATTATGTTGTAGTAATAGTTTCCTGAATCGGTCATGATATTTATGTATTACTTGTCCATTTTCTCTATGGGTATTTAGTTGTACCCCGAGTATGCGTCCATGAATGAAAGTATCTTGAAACCTGCAAGGTAGTTGACCAACTTGTCGATGTTAGGCAAAGGATATGCATATTTGGGAAAAACCCTATTAAGATCGGGATAGTCAACACACTTACGCCACTTTACATTATATTTATTAACTAATACAATGTTAGACAACTAGGTTATATAATGGGCTTCCGAAATATAATTTACCTCTAAGAGGTCTTTTACTGCTAATTCAGCATCCTCCGTTTTTTTGGGAGATTGCCTACACCTACGTTGTACTACGACCCTAGCAGCCGAATCTATGATTAATTAATGATAAGCGACACGGGGGTCCAACCCGGGCCTCTCTGTAGTGCTCCATGCGAACAAGTCAGCGTTCTCCCTTAGGCAGATCTTCAGCTGCTTCCTTGCTAAGTTGGGGAGTCCCGTGCCAATCTTCACGTTTTTGTCCAGGTCATTGTCGAGGGGAATGAGCTCGAAGTCTCCATATAGAATTTGGCACATAAGATGGATAGGTTTCTCGTCGTTCCCAGATGTTGGAGAGGCGTTTGATGCTACTCCGTTCTGCTTCTAGTTGTTGGTAAAACGACTGTTGAGGTCAACTGAATTGACGTGGGCAACGACTTCTGCTTCTCGGATCAAGCTGGCTTGTTGGAAGTCATGGGCATCATGTTGATTGAGTTCAGCCCCTTTGTGGCTGCTTCGAAACATCTTCTTGCGACATCAATGTCCCCGTGAAGAGTGACGACGCGTCTCTGATTGTATAGTACTTCATCTTCAAGTGGACCGTGGACGACACTGTGGTAAGCTTAGCCAAAGTTGGTCTTCCCAGGATGCACTAGTACAAAGATGGGGATTATATAACCAAGAAACAGACTTTGACTTGTCTGGCGGTTTCCTCGGCGCCGAAAGTGACGAGCAGCTCGACATAGCCCAGTGACTTAATAGTTGTACCATTGAAGCCTTGTAGGTCGAAGCCCACATATGACGTCAGATGCCTCTGGTCGAGCTGGAGAATGGTGAACAGGTGAACACACATAATGTTGACGAAGCTCCATTGGTCGACCAGGATACGACAAATGTCGAAGTTTTCGATTTGAGCTCTCACGAGCAAAAGGATGCTGGAGTTGGGAGAACCGCCTGAAAACTCCTTGAGGTAGAAGGTGATGAGGTTGGATTTTCCCTATAACTTGTCGAGGGTTACGTTCTGGTTCGAGCTCATGCCGATCAGCTCGTCGAACTTCCTTTTCACCGACCCCACAGTGAGCTTGTTGAATCCTCCGCCAGATATGACCATAGCAGAGGGCAAGTTCTCCCTTGTGTTGTAGGAAAACAGGGGCACATCGGTCTTGTCGGGGACGTAGAAGTCATCAGGCCTATAGATGTAGAGGGCGACTTGTAAGCCGGTGTCGCCGGAGATTGATGCTTCTTCCTCGATCTTCTTCGCCTTGTAGACGTCCTGTCGAGGAGCCTCACTCCTCTTGGTGTACTGCTTCAGGCGTCCCTCATTGATGAGGATTTAGATTGCATCCTTGAGGTGGATGCAATCATCAGTGACGTGTCTGTGCCTCATGTGGAATTAACAATACTTATATTTATTGACGTTTGGCTTAGGGGGCGTCGACCTAGGAAAACGGTCCCCACCTTGTTGGAATTCCGAGTTTATACACTTTTCCAGGATGTGCTCGCGGGGAGCGGTCAACAGCGTGTACTCAGAGAAGTGACCTGTTGGTCCTCTGTGCTCGTGGGAGTCGCGGGGCTTATCATATCTTCTTTTCTCTTCGCCACGTCGAGGAGCCACTGGGTTTTCATACTTCGCAACTTTGGCGCCCTTCTGGTTTTGTGAGTCTCAGGCATTATTGGCGGCCCCTCACTCCTCGTATTGGATGTAGGCATGAGCTTTGAGGAGAAGATCATCCAGCGAATGAGGCGTTTCAATGCCAACTCCTTTGGTGAAGTCATTGCGGGGGTACAACCCTCACTCGAGCAGGTATCTCTTCATCCGGTCAGTCGTGGAGTTTTAGACGACTTCTTGATTGAACCTCTATATGTAGTCTCTGAGAGATTCGTCCTTCCCCTGTATTATGGCCTCGAGTGACGCCTCAGATTTTGGGTGTCGTCGAGAGGTGATGAAATTCCTATTGAATAATATTTCCAGATTCTTCTAGGAGTTGATGGATTATGTGGCGAGACTTTTGTACCACGTCATGACACATTTCCTTAGGATTGTGGGAAGAGTCTGCACTTGATGGCGCCTTGGACATTGCGGTAGTCGAGCATCGCATCAATATTTTTGATGTGATCATCTGGGTCCGTCGTGCCAACATAGGTTGCTAGACTTGGTGGTTTTTTCATTTCGACGGGGATGAGGGTCTCCACAATTCCTCAGGACAGTGGACCGCGGGGGTCGTCTTTGTTGCTTCGAATTGCGACAGAGAGAGGTCGTGTTGAGGGCTTCTGCCGCGGCGGGGCGAGTTCTTTGGTCAACCCCTCGACTTGTCTAGTTGCCCGTTGGTCTTGCTCCTCTTGGGAGCGGGGGAGTGTCGCTCCCTGTGTGGAGGAGTGCGATCACGCTTCTAGGTAATCGCAGGTTGTGGCCTCTCTAGCTGCAGGCGACATCCGGGTTGTCATGGGGAGAGGCTTCGAAACTCGTCCAGTTGGTGTCTCTGTGGGAGGGAGTGTGGACAGGCATCTCGTCATCGCGAAGATAAATTACGGAGCTGGGTTGGGCCGTGCTCGACGGTGGACCAGTCCCAAACCCACTCCAGAATAACATTTAATTTAAATATTTTTTTTTTGTTAAAACGACATTATTTTAAAACAGATATAATAGTCATTTTACTTTTTCAATATAATATTAATTATTTTTTACCATCTTTACCATTAATAAATATTCTTTACATTACATTTAAATTATTAAATCATAAAATAATTATATTTATTTAATCAATCATTATTTTTCTTAATGAATAATAACCACTTTTAATTTGAGACTTAGTAATCAATAGAGGATTATTATGATTACCCTGGAAATCTAATACCACATGTTTACACCATGCAAAATACAGCATACCTCATGTTTTTGTTTGGCTTAGAATAAAGAAAAAATAATTATTAAACACTCTAAAAAAGCAAAATCGAGAGATACACAAATGATGTAAATTTTTTACAATTTCGTTATATCATATTAAAAATTTTAAATTAAATATATATCCATATGGTAGTGGTTACATCACATTATCATCGATTTCCTCGATATCTTTGTCTTTATCCTCTCACTCATCATGTAATCAAACAGTCAAAGACGGCCATACAAACACATCATCCACACTCGTGGTTAGGAAAGTCAAGAAAAATCAACGGTCATCGTGCGCTGCCATGTTTGATCGCGACATATATAATATATCAACAATTTTAGTATAACATTAAAAATTTGTACTCATCAAGATAATATTTCAACTCCAAATCCGATTCAAATCCGATACATAATCAAAAATTGAATTATCACCTTACATAAACTCTATCACCGATCTCATTTTTTCCAGGAAAGTTGACAGAACAACTGTAGCTTCACAAGAAGAGCGATAATGGAGATCAAACCTGGATTGTCAGCACTCGTCACTGGCGGTGCCTCTGGGATCGGTAGTTAACATCAATCATCATATCTTTTTCATTTTTCAATTTTTTTGTTGAATAATTTGATGTTTTTATCACATGATGTTAGTTCTATGGTTACGTAGTCGTTAAACAATTGTTGAATTTTTAAAATAAATTTTGTCTAATTATATGCTTGATAATCCCGTTTAGTTTATATATTAGTGTTAGTTATATCATTGATGTGTGTAATTCGATTTTTCTGTTTTTTATTTTTATTTTTTATTTTTTACAGGTAAAGGTCTTGTTCTAGCTCTGGCAGAGAAAGGTGTATTTATAACAATTGTTGATTTTTCTGAAGAAAGAGGAAGACAACTCGCAACCGTTGTCGAGAAAATTAATACAAAGTTTCATCCTAAGTTACAACATCCATCTGTGATATTTGTGAAATGCGATGTGACCAACTCGAGTAAGTGACTTATTGTGAATGTAGTTGCGAACAATTGCTAGTTTGTTATACTGATGTAGTTATTAACCGAGAGAGCTATCAACAGAGGATCTGGCTGCTGCATTTGAGAAGCACATTTCGACTTATGGAGGACTAGACATTTGTATTGTCAGTGCGGGGATTGAAAACCCTGTACCGTTTGATAAGGATGAAACGGACGGCACTCGATCGTGGAGACATACTCTTAATGTGAATTTTATTGCTGTTTTTGACACTACCCGCCTAGCGGTAAGCTTGAAATTTGTCCTGGTTTTCTTTCACGTATCACATTATCGATCACACAGTTAAGAAAAAAGGGGATTGAAACCTTTTGCCGGTGATTGTGTGCTTTTAAATAGATTAAAAGCATGGCAGCGTTGAAAAGGCCTGGGGTGATCATCAATTTGGGTTCTGCTTCGGGTCTTTATCCGATGTATCTTGACCCTATCTATAGTGGCTCTAAAGGTTTGTCATTTAACAATCAATTATGCATCTCCACAAAACTTATACTAACTTACTATCATTTTTGTTTTCCCAAAAATTAACTTACTATATAGTTTACTGAACTGTTTCTTCGCTTCACAGGTGGTGTTGTTATGTTTACTAGAGCACTTCGTTTATACAAACGTCAAGGAATTCGAGTCAATGTGCTTTGCCCTGAGGTAAGAGTTGCTTTTGGACTTGAAAAAATTGATATTTTGAAAATAAATTCTACTCTACATTACAGTTTACTATAATTAATCCCCGAAATATTAATGTTTAGTGCAGTTTGTTGAAACTGAGATGGGCTTAAAGGTGGATCCCAAATTCCTTAATATGATGGGGGGCTTTGTACCTATGGAAATGGTGGTGAAAGGTTAGTCAGCATATCTTTTTGTTATTTGGTGTGCCTTGGCAAAAAGAGCATGAGTGTTTGTACTTTGTAGACTCTTAATTCACAATAAAGATGAGTGATGTGTTTGTATTGTATCATATTACACACATTGGAGTATCATTTAAAGCAGAAATGATAATTAGTACAAAACCCGTTTCTTCAATACATCAGACTTTATTTACCTTTGTCCGAACTTCAAATTAGTAGGCCTCTTCCTGAGGTTTAAGACAAAAAATACACATTATGAAAACATTTACAAAGTTAAAAATACATATTATGAGAGTGTCCCTTAGTTTTGTTTGACAGATGAATTTACCTGTGTTAGTAATTTAGTGATTGGTCTATATTTCTTATCATGTATACATAAATTTTGATGTGAAAATATTTTAACCTCTCAAGGTGCTTTTGAGCTCATCACGGATGAGAGTAAAGCCGGTGATTGCCTATGGATTACTAATCGTCGAGGTCTGGAGTATTGGCCAACCCCATCAGAAGAAGCTAAATACACGATTCGTTCTAATCGTCTTAGAAGAAGAACTGAATACAAAGCTCCGTCAATTAAACTACCCGAGAGTTTTGAGAAAATGTGTGTATTTCAACTCTAATTATCTTGTTATGACACACATATACCTGTATGCCTCTAGACGGTGTTTATTTTCTTTTTCCATAGTGTTAGAAAAGGTGGAATTACATATTCAAATTGACTGTGTGTTCTCATGGTTTTGTTCATTTAAAGATGTGTTATTTAATGGTTTCATATTGCTGCATACTGTTTGCAGAGTTGTTCATACCTTGACTCACAACTTTCGTAATGCTACCGGCTTAGTGAGAGCACCACTAAGATTACCTATCAAATCAAACAATGTTCTTGTTAAGATAATTTATGCTGGTGTAAATGCTAGTGATGTAAGTTTTTACATATTTCTAGAAGATTTGTGTGTGAATTTATTTTCTAGCTACAATTCTGACAAGAATTTGTATTGATAGGTAAATTTTAGCTCAGGCCGCTATTTTGGTGGCAATAACAATGATACTGCGTCCCGTCTTCCATTCGATGCAGGATTTGAGGTATGATGTATCCCCAAACATAGATTTCTTTTATGAAGCTGATCACTTGATGCAGAATGCCTATACTCATATGTGTGCTGAATTTCATTTATACTTTAGGCTGTGGGAATCATTGCAGCAGTTGGGGACTCGGTCAATGACTTGAAAGTTGGCATGCCGTGTGCATTCATGACTTTTGGAGGTTATGCTGAATTCACAGAGGTGAGCAGTGTTTATCATATTGTTGTTATTCTTCTTTTCTATAGTGACATAATCACTGGTATTTCCAAACTACCATGTTTTATAAAACTTAAGAGTTTTGATTATTAAGTTGATCTGATGATAAACAACACTATTGTGATACTAATTATGATGTAAGGTATTGATGATGTTGTGTTTTTATTTCAATTAGATTCCTTCCAAATACGCACTTCCAGTGCCTAGACCAGATCCAGAAGGTGTTGCCATGCTTACATCAGGATTAACAGCTTCAATTGCTCTAGATAAGGTTGGTTAATGTATGCTCGTGTCCTTGCTTCAGATGTATCCTGATTTTCTATTATTTGAAACTCTAGTCATTTCTTGTATCGACGAAACTCAAACTTTTTCATGATTTTACTACCATCCTTAAAGCTTATTTTAATGTTGGTTAATCCTCTACTTGATTGGTCTTTCCTGATAAGAGCTTTTGTTTACTTCAAAGGCAGGGCAGATGGAATCTGGAAAAACAGTCCTTGTTACTGCTGCAGCCGGAGGAACCGGTCAATTTGCCGTTCAGGTGCCTTCACAAATCCAACTACACATTTCTCAAACATATGCATAGTGTTTGTGTTACTAGGAATTGTTTGTTTCAATGAGAGTTACATTACATGCGTTCCATTGATTCCTTGAGACCTAAGATAACTACTAGTTACTATTTAAGACAAAGATCGCTAGTTGTTTTTGCGGTTATTTTATGAGACACGTGGTCTATATGTTCTTGCAAATTTCACAGTCCAATGATCTGATGCTTGGCTTAGTAATCTGGATTATTTATGCAGCTTGCAAAATTAGCAGGTAATACCGTGGTTGCCACCTGTGGAGGTGGGGCAAAGGCCAAGCTTCTAAAAGAGTTGGGAGTCGACAGAGTCATAGACTATAATGGCGAAGATATAAAAACGGTATTTTTGTAATCCATTGACTTATTTGGGGTTCTGCTAATAGTAACTATGGTATATTATCAGATATTATCACATTTTTTCATTGTAGCTAAATTGAACCAGCGAAGAAAATGCTTTATAATGCTGTTTGTTTGTTATCTAAGGTTGTGGTTGCTATAAACATGTTAAGTTTGTGACATACTTATGCAGGTTCTAAGGAAAGAGTTCCCGAAAGGTATTGACATCATCTATGAGTCTGTTGGCGGTGACATGCTAAAATTGTGTTTGGATGCTTTGGCAGTCCATGGACGACTCATCGTCATTGGCATGATTTCTCAGGTTTTTACTCATTTTATTTTTCTTCAATTGTATACACATCAGCACTTGTGAAAATTTTGCTATATCTATAATACCTAGGATTTTATCCTCGTTTAAGTATAATGGAAAATGATTTTTTAACTACTATGTTTGTTGTTTTCATTAATATCAGTATCAAGGAGAAAAAGGCTGGACACCGTCAAAGTATCCCGGACTATGTGAGAAGCTCTTGTCGAAGAGTCAAGCCGTGGTATGTATAAATATGATGAAGTTATGCACTTGTAGAAAGCTTGTAATTTTTTTATCTATTATGATTGCTTATTTCATTCTGTCACTTATTCTTGCTTTTCTTATGATTCTATATAATTGACCAATTTTTCAGGCTGGTTTTTTCCTGGTGCAATATAGTCACATGTATCAAGAACATCTTGATAAACTATATGACCTTTACTCTAAGGGAAAACTAAAGGTAATTTATAAGCATTCTATACCTGTGGATCAATAATTTTTTTTAAGGTATTTAGGTCTTGTATTTGCTACTTCTGCTTCTAAGTTTTGAAGTTTGTGTTTTTGTTTTTTCTCCTTTGTTCACTCAGGTTGCTGTGGATCCAAAGAAGTTTATAGGCCTGAATTCTGTTGCAGATGCTGTTGAGTATCTCCATTCAGGCAAAAGTGTTGGGAAGGTAGTTTTCTTTCTTAAGAAAAATTCTGTTCACTGCTAGTTTGATTTTGTAACTGTTATGTAACAATCTAATTATATTGTTTCTCTAGGTGGTTGTAAGCGTCGACCCAACGTTCGCCAATCAAGTAGCCAAATTATGAGGCATTATGAGTCCACGCATGCCGAATACAGAAAGAAGACACGCTTTGAGCTCGTAGTCTAAAGATTGTTCCCGAATAATAATGAAAATAGCTTATAGAGTAGTGATGAAATATTGTCGATGCTTTTTCATTTTTGGATTGCACGGAAGAATAATGGCTTGTTCTAAAATGTTTAGGAAATAAATTGTAAGTCCTTTCATTAGTAAAACTCTTTGCTTTTGTGAAAACTTATCAGTCCTTCTATTTGCTTTGTTCAAAAGTTGAAAGAGGCTCTTCAAATGATTATGTACTAATTTGTTTCCAATGTTGAAAGGATAGATCTCATGAGTGCTTTTCTTCTCTCTTTAAACCATTAAATCAATGTATGCATACGATGAGATTTTATATGTATATATACAAAATACTCTAGAGTCAAAGTCTTACCAACACGCGCTACATTCCGTGTTGTAACGACATAAGTAGTTCGAATTCACCACGTTTTCATCAAAAATTTTAAAAGATTTGGTATTAAAGCAATGTCTCATTTATATTGGATAACACCATCACCACATTACGCGTTGTTAATCATCTATTTTTTAATTTAAGTTTGGATTTCAAACTCATACTTAATAAGTCATAAACAAAATCAAAAGGCGATCCACCACATTAACTATGTATCAAATGTGAGTAAGATTCAAATTGTCATTGGAATCCCATTTAATGTTGTCAAAATTAAAATACTATTCTCATTCTTTATCCTTTATTACATTCGGGCTATTCATATAAAATAGTCTCAATGGCAATACAAAGGCCTTGAATGGGGCATGAAAATAAAATTGAAAATTCAAACAAAATCTTATAAAAGTGACATGAAAATTTATCAAGTCCTACGTTCATAATAATAAAACATTTCGAAATTTACCGAGACCACATTTTTTGCAGCATATGAAGTGTAAATGAGTGCTTCGATATTTTTATAATGAATAAATAAAAATTAATTAAATATAAAACAATCAAACAATTAACATCACAAGCCCTTATAGCTCAGTGGTAGAGCGCCAGTCTTGTAAACTGGAGGTCCGCAGTTCGATCCTGCGTGAGGGCAATTTCCTTTTATCCATTGAGAATGGTTTTAAACTTGTACATTTGCAACTGAAATCAATTTATAAAGTTGAATTGGTAAAATCAGAGTTGAAAATTTTTGATGTATGTTGAAAATTTAAAATATTTATATATTTAAAGTTTGATAAATAAATAAGCAATGTATATAATAATTTTAATAGTTTTAATATCATTTTAATATGAAGTAAACTTGTATTAATGAGTTTAATGTAATTCATCCATTTAAAAAATATAGATAAATTTCATCTATTCAATTATTTTACAAATTTAATGAATCAGTTTTTTTTTTTGGTATACTTTTAAATCTATTGAATACTTTTACAATAAAACATTCTAGATATGACTAACATCTTGATCCAATAATGTGAAAATTCAACTGTCGCTTAGCCTCTAAAAATATCAAAAGAACATTTTTTTTTATTGTATTCTAGATTTTTCTAATGCATCGTGTGAATTTTTACATATGTCTTTAATTCTGAAGATATATCTTCGAACGCATCCAATATACACTCAATAAATGTCATTTTGAGCTACGGCCTTTCTTTTGGTTTAATTTATTCTGGAGATGCATCTCCATATTCATTCTCTAGTTACATCTCAGGACGTACCCGACACCAACTCAACAAAGGTCATTATGAGCTACACCCTTTCTTTTAGTTTAATTTATTTTAGAGATGCATCTTCAAAATAAATCCGTAGTTACATCTCCAGATTCACAATAAAAACAGATATAACAGATCCAAAATGAAATTGACATTTATAACATAAAATGATCATTACAATGACGATTTCAACAAAAAAAAAAATTCAATCTTACATTTTAATATCTCAATGGACGCTTGCACATCTCCAGGATATCTTCGACCGATTTGTGTATCGTCGCTTCCAACTTGAGCGAAACTTTCTCTTCGAAATCAAAAAACGTATCCCACATAGCCCTAACATCCGCTTGTGTCTTGAGCTCAAACTTGGTGAATCGAATCTTCCCTCCGTTATCACTCGAAGGTGAACGATACTCGAGCTTCACAATCTTTCGATTGTCTTTATAAGGTAAGAGATGGTGGATTTTGTCTTAGATATCTTCGACAGAGGTGTATTCGGTGAGCTTAAACACTTGCCTGGGTGTAGAGCTGGAGAAAGACACATTTGCAACATACCAATATATTTTTATTTGTGACATTTGAGATGTTTTGAATTTGTGTGAAATATAACACTAGAGAACTTAAATTTATAGAAGTCAAAAATCAACTTGAACCATTCATTAACTGGCACATTGATTCCAGAGATATATCTCCGGAAACGCACCCTATTATCTTGTTTCGGAGATACATCTTCGGAACTTCTCCTGAACCGCAACCACACCAAAACCATATAACAGAACCATTTTTTCCAATTACAAAAACATAAATGTTGTAATGGGAAATATAAAAACAACATAAAGACAAAATATGAAGAAAAAGGTGAATATATAACACTTCATTTATATTGAGACACAATTACATACAATTATTTGTACGGTTAAACACGAAATCAAAATGAATCAAAACATATGTTGCCGGCTAAATCTATAGGTGGCACCCCTTGGACTTTTGTGCATTAAATTCTTTTTCAATGTTGTTCAATCTCTTGAATTCTTGTATCTTTTCCATAAAAAGATCCGGTCACATCACGACTTTTGCGGTTGAATGAGTCATCCACTCTGGTGATATAAGTGGTATAGGACATTTCGGTTTCAAGGAAACTTGAACAAGATGACTTGATTTTGAAAGCCATTAAATACACATGATACAATAATTTGGATTTTAGGATGGGGCGGTGCGTAGTGGGAAAAAGGTTTCTGAAAAACCATAGCTTGTCAGGTCAATATACACTATGTCATATGCACATGCTATTAGGTGACCTATATTAGGGAAGCTCATCCATTTCGCCTCCGTGTCAGACCACTCAAGTAAGGAACAAGAGACTCATAAACCGCACTGAATTTTTCTTTATTTCCGTACAACCACGTGTACGATTCTTTATGCGTCTTCAACTCTTAGATAATTTGATGTTGGAAAAGTGCATAATTATCTTCTCCTTTATCGAGTAAAGCCAAAACGGATCGGTAACCGCAATTACCGTCCCCTAATGCATTGACGATCTGCTTGATATATTTTTGCATGAAAATCAACATCTCGTCAATGAATGAAATATTTGGTAGAGGCGGCGTCAGAGGTGGTTTTCTAATGTGGGCTTCTTTCACAACACTTTTTTGAGATTTTGGAGTCAGTGAGTCAGAAAAAACTTTGTCAACATGTTCAAAATATGAAGGAGACCGTGTAGTCGAGTTGTCATTCAGTGTAAGCTTCATTTTTTTGAATCACCTTTTGATTTTACCAGTTCAGAAAACAGTTTCATGTCGGTGGTTTTAGGATATGCAATCTTCCTTAATTGTTCTTTGATGTGTGATCCGCTGTCGCACACGGATCAAAAACGAGTAATTTTAAGAAAATAGTTAGCGGTAACGACAACTCGAGTATCGTTCTCACAAGGATTCTTGAATTATTTCAACCAACTAAAGAAAAGGTTTATGGGGGTTTTAAGTTTTGATTTATAAAATAAGAGAAAAAAAGTGATTATCAGATAATCTAAAACGGCTAATCCTACTGATTCGCGTTCTGACTTATCATCGACTATTATAACACTAATCCCTAAGTGGCTTCAATCCTATTCAATTATGATATTAATCAGACAAGCACTTATCAAAATCATACGAATTATGTTCCTGTTACCGAATTAAGTAAACAGTTAAGAATATGACGAGTTAACGAATTAAGCAAACGATAACACACAATTAAATTTAGGAACATGCATACAATCGAATTTAATCAATTATATCCTATGAAGACAGTCAAATTAAGCAAACAATTACAATCAAATTAAGCAAATGATTTCATAGAAAAGAATTGAACATAAATCGAATTAAATTGGTATTATAATATCCTCAAAGTGATGGAACCCGTAAGCAGCATGATTTGCCTTGGGAATTAGTTTTCCATGAAAATCGTATAAAACACAATGAAATTCGTAAAAAAAAAGGTTAAGAGACAGTAGTACGGCTGCTAGGTATAAGAAAGCATCAACACTTATGGTTTTAACCCAACTGGGTCAAAAAACATAAAAAAATCCGGCCCAAAATTAAATATTTCAAATGGCAGATTTCGGGTCCTGACTTCAACTAATTATTTAAACCTTCTACACTCCAAATCATCTTCTGCCTCAAACATAAAAATTGTAACTCTCTATCTTATCTTTCCAACGCCTATTAGAATGCGCAAATCGGATTCTCGCAGCTTCAGTTATAATTCAAACAGTGGACAGATATCATATAACCGCTAAAGCTAAAAATAAGCTGCGAAAATAAAATAAAGGTAAAAACAAACTTAAATATGAAAACACATTAAAATAGTAAAAGTACTCAAATAAATTGTAGAAATGCCTAAGTATAACAATGGAAGAATGTGTATGAAGATGCACTGATCAAATTCTCCTACACTTAAACTTTTGCACTCCGAGCAAAATATCATCAAGACTCATGAAAAACATAGCATTTAGATACTCATTCTAGGTTGTAAACTCTTCTTCGGGCAAGGTTGCATCGATAGGTACTAATTTTGTACACTAAGGATATCATAAGACACAAATCCACAATTGTATGGTCATAAAGCTCCCTCCTATACAAACCAATCCAAATCATGTTATTATGCTTAAGCCTAACTTACTCATCCTCCTTTTTGCTCCCTTCCATTCTAATGCAATCATATTAAGCCCGTTATCTATTCACATACATGGTAAATAAGCCTGTTAGTGACTATGATCCATATTTTGTCAACAATTCAAATTTAACCAATTAAATAGCA